ATGAGAGGACCGTTCGCCCCTGAGAGCGGTACGTTATCTCGGTTCAGCACCCCGTCAGACAGCCCCGCCCATCCCCCCCCCCCCCCCCCCCGGTAAGTTCGATGCAACTTCAATTTTTTCAATAATTAAAATAATGGTATAATCACAAGGAGATTTGGGTAAAATTATAAATTTGCATTAATATTACAAAACAATAGCAGCATCATTGCCTTGCCTGAATCACCAAATGCCTCAATTAATTAGTTCAAAGCTAGTCACGTAATTTTTTTCAACTACTAATCGCACGCGGAAACTACGCGTTGCACTGTGGATTTAAAAGTGGAGTATGCCATTGGCCACTTCCGTGACGTTGAATAATGATCAGATGATGACTAACGGTATGCATATTCCTAGCTAGTTCATCACTAAATGGTTAAAAATGAATATTCTTGTTTGTATGATCACACTTCATTGTAACAATGGGGAAGTACAAAAGAAAGATGAGAATGAAATAAATATCTATGCCAGCCACACGGGAGAGATGAAATGAGAGTGGCCATACGAATATTGTTAGAAATTGGTCTACTTTTTTGGAACGAGTATTGTTTTTTGCGGCTAAATGTATTTACCAAACTGATCAATGTTATGAGGGATAATAATATTGATGGGTCAAGCCCAAAACGACCCAATCTATATGCAAAGTCCAAATTTCAATTGAGAAGCTCAATCTCATTTAAAGATCCACCAAGCTCAAGACCAGACTCTTTGTTTAGCCACGTCATCAAGGGAGAGAGCATGAGAAGCCTTACTTGCACTGCCAAAGGAAACGGTCCATCTTCACCATATCCTTGACCGCGTCTCATGGAAAACCTCTCAACCACCTCACCCGTTGAGAAGAAGTTGTGAAACTCCACCGAAATAGTTGCTCAGTTGCTGTAAAATAGCTCCAACCTGTTAGGGGACCACTATAAATTGCACGCGCCCACCAACACTTGGGAAGACCATACTAATTACCTGGGCATCACACTTTCCCTGAGCACGACTCTCTCCTCTCCCTCAAAACTTGTACTCTCTGCTCTCCACACCCTTAAATTAATAAAATACCCGACAACTAGAGCCATTCAAGAGTAGACGTAGGTCGAGTTGACCAAACCACTATAAATCTTGTCTCATCTAATTCTCTTTTTACTTTTACTGCATTTATTATTTACACTTGACAGGTGGTGTGCAAAACTATTTTGTGCATCATTAGTTTGGCGCCGTCTGTGGAAAACGACAAAAAGTCTTACTTCAAAACATTTCATTTATTGAATCAATGGCAATCACTACCAGATCCATGAACTAATCTGAAGACAATCCTCCACGAGAGGAGGAGGTTGTTCCTCCACCTACCAACCCTGTCCCGAATGCTCAAACTCTAAATCAACAGCAAATATTGGAGACCATGCAGCAGTTGGTGGCCCAAAACCAGCAGATACTGCAACTCATGCTCGCCGGACAAGGAGGAGCATAACTATGAGCTCCACGTCCTGGACATCAAGGAACTCCATGCCCTGGCCATCAAAGAGCTCCACGCCCTGTACATCAAGCAGCTCCACAACTTGTTGCTCCCCATTTGGAGTTCCCTTGGGTGCCCCTCATAGGGGAGCTCCCCACGAGGGACCTCCACCTCCTCTTCCAGCTCTCTTTTCTCATGGTGGAGGCTTTCTTTTTCAAGAGGACAAGGGTGAGAACCAGAGCATAGAGCATGAAATTCATTTTCAATATAATTCCAAAGGAGCTCCCAACCATTGGGACGAAAAAATAAAAGAGGTACAAAATCAACTAGGCGACATTTTCAACACTATGAAGGCACAGAGACCCGAGACAGTGGACTGCCTCGTAAGTCGAACTAACACACCCTTCATACCTAACGTGGCGAACTACCCACTTCCCAAGAAGTTTAAAATGCCATCCGTTGAAACCTTTAATGATACGAAGGACCCACTTGATCACCTCGAAACTTTTAAGACCTTAATGCAACTATACAACGTCCCCGACGAAATTATGTGTAGGACATTCCCAACTACCTTGAAGGGATCAGCGCAACAATGGTTCGCCAAACTCACCCCGGCCTCCATAGGCTCCTTCGCCGAACTGAGCAGGTCCTTTTTGACACAATTCATTGGTGAACGCCGCCAGTAGAAGCCTGTCATCCATCTGCTCAGCATAAAACAGGATCGAGATGAGAGTCTAAGGNGTCCTTTTTGACACAATTCATTGGTGAACGCCGCCAGTAGAAGCCTGTCATCCATCTGCTCAGCATAAAACAGGATCGAGATGAGAGTCTAAGGAGTTACCTTACTCGATTTAACGAGGAAGTCCTCTAAATCGAGGAACCCAATGACAAAGTCACCATGACTGCCTTCTTGGGCGGCCTCTGCTCATTCAGATTCCTTTTTTCAGTAATGAAACAACCACCAAAGAGCATGCCAGAACCATTGGCAAAAGCTCAAAGATATATGAATGCTGAGGAAATCAACAGGTTTAGGCAAGGTGAATCATCTCGCAGATCACCAGAAGCTTGACCTGCCTCTGCACTGTTCTCAAACAAACAACTTATCTCCAGCTTGGCGACTCTCTCACGAGTCACCAAAAAAGTTTGGCCTCTGCACTGTTCTCAAACAGGCAGCTTATACCTCAAGCTTAAAGACTCCCTCATGGGTCGCCAAAAGCTAGGTCTCAAAAGGTGTAGCTCTCTCACGAGCAGTTTTCCAACTCTGTCTTTGCTCTCGCGCAAGCAGCCTACCTCTCTCTCTCTAGGTAATTATGTGAGATATTTTAGTGTTTGAAATAACATTATTTTTGTCATCGCAAGCAAGCTCGCCCAACTCAGCCCGATGACACAGTACGGTCGGAGGAATGCGATAAGTAAAAACAAGCCTCAAGATATCTTCATCTAAACGGAATAAACTGGAAAGGGTACTCATCTTAGACCCATCGTCATCAAGTCCTAATTTTCTTTTTCACTTCTTCTTTTGAGGCGGCAAGGAGTGGCCCAGGTCATCCTCTTGAGAGGTTTGGATTTGAGAAGTCACATTTGAAGGAGTCGTATCGTGATGACCGAAAGTGGCACCTAAAGCTCCCTCGTCGCCTGTAGTGTCTAGGTCAACACTTGGAGGGGTGTCTGACTACCTTTGCTTGCCAAAACAGAGCTGCTCAGTAGCTGGAGAGGTGCTGATCCTTCAAAATTGCACAAAACAGCATTTTCGGCACCAAAATCAGCACCTATGGTGCCCGAATTAGCGCCTGGAGCGGCGCTCAGATATGCCCCTGCACCCAGGTTGCTGCCCAGCTCTCTCTGCTGCACCTTGGACTAATTTCCTGCACTTTTCGTTGAAGAAATGTTGCTGCCCAGCACTCGAACGCTGCCCAGAACAGCAGAATCTGTGTTGCCCAGCGCATTTGAGCTATCCAGGACAGCAAAAATAGTGTCCAAATTGCTGCCCAGTGCACCTGAGTTGTCCAGGACAGCAAAACCAACGCCCAAGCAAGTGCCCAGCGCACTAAAACTGCCCAGAACAACCCCTTTTTCTCTGCCCAGCTTGCCTAGGAAGTCCATATTTTTTTTCTCTGTGCCTACCCAGGTTGGGAGCCATGCCAAAAACACCAAAACTCACATGTGAGGCGCCTGAACCAGCGCCCAAAACAGTGCCTGAACCAGTGCCCAAAGCAGCGCCTATAGGCGCTTGCACAGGCTACTGCTGGTGTGCGCGAATGGCAGTGGCGACTAACGGGGATTTTTCCCCTCCTCCTCCTTCGATCCTTGCAACTTCAAATGCTCTAAGATCACTCTCCTCAGCCCTAATTTCACCACTCCTCATGGCACCAATATAGCCTCTCTATTCCATCTCCTTCAAAGCTCTAAATACCTACTTAAAAAAAAAACTTGAGGCATGCAAAGCAAAAATGCATCGTGGAGGGAAAGAGTCATCTAGCAAGGAAGTGTCCATCACTTAT